ATCCACCCCCTTTTCACTGTCAACACAATAAAGATCATTCAAATGAAGTCAAAGAAAAAAATTGTGCCCTTTCAAAACAAACAATTATATTTTTTAAGTAAATTATTCCAAGTCAGATTAACATTTAAATTTTTTTTTACTTCAACCTTTTCTTCTCTTTCTGTTCAGCAGCATCAGAGATCTCCCCATCCTTCTTTTTTTCTCCCTCATTTCGCTCCTCTTTTTCCAGTTTGACAGCTGCCTTTCTGGGAGCTACAAGAGATTGTAAGATGTAAGTTATATATTAATGTAAAAAAAAGTTAAACTAAAAATAAAAACTGTTTCAGTAATCATGCAGGTTTGGGATGTCATGGGGGTAAGTAAATAATGGCAATGTTCATTTTGGAGTGAACCACCCCTTTAATTAAAAAGACGGAAGATGACAAAGAGAAAGAAAAGAACAAAAAGTTTACCAAAAAAGCTGCTGATGGGTTTCTTTTTGGCCGATCCCCCTTCCTCCTCTGTGTTTTTTTCTTTTTTAACCGCTCGTTCAGGACTGCTATGTTCCTTCTCTTTCTTGTCTTCTTTTTTTTCTTTCTTCCCATTTTCTACATTTATCTTTTTCTCCTGTTTTACCTTATTTTTAACCTTTTCTTTCATCTTATTGTTTGCATTGTCCTCAACTACGGTTGTTTTTGCTTCATCCTTCTCTTTCTGTTCCTCCACTGCAGTCTTCCCATCTGCGCTCTTCTCTTCCACCTCCATCATCTCGTTGTCTGAGTTGAAGAGAGAAAGAGAAGAAACAGTGAGAAACACATTAAGATAATGGAGATGTTATACCTGTGCGCAGAGATCAACTCATCTCACCTGTCTGTCCAGGTGAGGCCTCAACTCGTGCTCTCTTACTCTCCTGCCCTTCGTCGACCTCCTTCCCCTCCTCTTTTGCCCCCTCTCCATCACTTCTGCTTTCCAGCTTCCTCTTGGGGAACTGCTTGCGGGCTAGAGAATGGGAGAGGGACTTCAATCCCATATAGCCTACTGTATTATATTTAA